CGCGTCCCACATACAGCAACTAGAAGGATGTGCAGCTATGACATACAACTACTGGGGCTTTGGGGGGAAAAAATAAATAAAATCTTAAAAAAAAAAAAAAAAAGACTTACCGTATGATCCAGGCATCCACTTTTCAGTATATACCCAAAAGAACTGAAAGCAGGCACTCAGATATTTCTACACCAATGTTCACAGCAGCATTAGTTCGTAGCAGCATTATTCACCATAGCCAAAAGGTGGAAACAATCAAAATGTCCATCAACAGATGATTGGATAAACAAAAGATGGTATATAGATATATTATTCAGCCATAAAAAAGGAATGAAGTTCTGATACCTGCTACCACATGGATGAACCCGGAAAACATTATGCCAAGTGAAAGAAGCCAGACACAAAAGGCCACTCAGTGTAGGATTCCATTTATATGAAATGTCCAGAATAGGCAAATCCATAGAGACAGAAAGCAGATTAGTGGTTGCCAAGGGCTGAGGGAGGGGAAATGAGGAGTTCCTGTTTAATGGGTTCAGAGTTTCTATTTGAGATGATGAAAAAGTTCTGGAAGTGGATAAAGGTGATGGTTTCACAACACTGTGAATGTACTTAATACCACAGAATTATACACTTAGAAATGGTTAAAAGGATAAATTTAAGTTATGTATATTATCCTACAATAAAAAAAGGACGGGAAGGCTACACAACAAAACATTTAGTCATTGACTTTTGAGTGGCAGAATTATAATGATCATGTCTTCCTTCCTCTTTACTCTATTACAAATTGTATAATAAACATATATTACTAATTATGGGGGGCAATGCATATAACTGGCTTTAGTTTATAAAATAATGCCCCAGCATATAGTTCATCTGACTTTATCACACTGCAGATGCAAGCCCCTAGACCCCTGGGTGGTGAACACAGTCCTAGCAAGGGGGCTGTGCTCGTGTAGACAACATCCCTGCCCCAGCCACTGTGCAGTTACTGTCCTGGCAAGATGTGATGACCCACCTCTAGGCTTCCTCCCAGTCCCTTCTGCCCCTGGGCCCACAAAGGGGCACAGCACAGGGCTCGAAAAATCCCTACCAAATGCCTAGAAGCCTTTCACTGCCCCATCTCCCCTGGATTAATGGTTCACGTTTGCTCCTGGCTGTTGAGTTTGCAAAACCCTTGACATGTATTTGTTCTCGCACTCATCGCATAGACAGGCAGGATTTTCCATTGTACAGATCTGAAAACAGAGGTTCAGAGAGACTCAATAACCTGCCCGAGGACAGGGAGTTGAGGACAGGGAGTCTTCCAACTCCCAATCCTGTGCTCCCCGCCACATCTCTCTGACTTCCGACCTCACAGCAGTTACTGTCTGAGTGAATCTGGCATAGCTTCCCCCAAGAACTGGCTCTTAACAGAAACTCCTGGCCATTACCTGTTTGAATGTCACACACAAGTGCAGTAAGTATTCTCACGAAGGGCCTCTTTCCTAAACCCAGTTACTAGCTTCTGCCTGTGAATTTTCCGCATCCCAAAAGACAAGTCCCCAGAGGCCTTGGCAAAGTCTCCAGCTGCCCGGTCCCCTTCTTCAGCCTCACCCACACCCTCGGCCTTCCCATGGGAGATCCAGGTGGCCCAGGGTGACCCAGAGGCCCGGCTCCCAGCTGTTCACTTGAGCGTGTCCAGCATCCCGAACACCTGCATGAAACGCTCCCTGTCCAGGACGCGGCCGTAGCGCAGGGTGAGGTAGAAGGTCTGCTTCCCGCTGTACTGCTGGATACGCACGAACAGCTCCTGGGGCCGGTCCTTGGTTTCCGTCATGGGGACCACGTCGGCCACGGGGCAATACGTGTCCTGTCGCCAGCCCCAGAAGGTCAGGTGAGCCACCCGCAGCACGGTGCCTGACTCGTTCACGTACAGGATGCCCACCAGCCTCCGGAAGAAATAACTCATCCAGCACAGCATGGCCAGGGCAAAGCCAGCGATCCCGCCCACGAGGCACAGGGAGTTGAAAGTCATGAGGCCCTGGGAGTACCAGTAGAGGCCAGGAGGCAGGGCCACCACCGTCAGGGCCGTCTGTGCCACCTTCAGCTGAGACAAGTACCCGAAGGCTCTGATGGCATCAAATCGGTAGACCATCTGGAATTTCTCTGTCTCTGTGCCTGGTGGCTTCTCCTTGGAGGCGGGCGACTTGCTCCCCACCCACCTCCTAGGATCCTGCCCACTGCAGCACCATAGCCGGTAGAGAGGCCTTCCCCACGCCGCTGGCCCTGGCAACCGCGGCACAACCCGGAGGAGGGCAGCCTGCAAGGGAGACAGGAGACCATTTCTCTCATGGAACTCAACCATGCTAATCACACAATGGACATCTGCAAAGCATCTTACACCAAGGCTCCCGACCATCCTGTGAGGTCGCCATTATTGCCAGAGACAGAGAGAAAGGGAAAGCCAGATGCTGTACCTCATGTGATCTTCATGCAAGCTGCGCAAGACAAGCATCCCTCCTTCCACATTACCACCGAGAAGCCCAGAGAAGGTAAGAAATTTACCCAGACACACAGCCAGCGAGTGGGGCAGGGTCTGATTCAAACAGATCCCCTTTCCTCTAGGCAGTTCAAGGAGATTCATTCATCAAATACCCAGAGAGGGCCAACTCTGGGCCAGGCGCTGGAAGCATAAGGCTGTGCGAACATTTACCCAAGCAGGAAGCTAAACAATCAATGTTCTGGTGGGGAACAAATCCATGAGATATGCATCCTCACAACTTTCCAATTCTCTGCCAGGGGAAAGCATCATCCTGGGTGCTGAAGGGAAATGCTGTGTTCTTAGCCTAGTTAGGGGGAGGGGGAAGAACGAGGGAGGAGGGAGGGATGAGGCCCAAGGATTTTATTAGACGCACAGTTCTACACCTTGAGTAGTGCAGGGAAAGATGCCTTGGGTTTTCGGGCCAGATCTGGGTTCTCGTCCTGGCTCCTGCAGTCACCAGCTACGGGTCCTTGGGCAAGTTACTCCTCCTCTGTACGCCTCAGTTTCTCCATCTTTCAAATGGGGATTCGGAACACGCTGACTGAGGTAATGCTTTTAAAATCCTCAAATGCACTTGATGGACTTGCGCGGTGCGCACTCAGTCAGATTTAATTACCGCTGTTGCTGGCCCACGTGACCTGAGCGCAGAGGAAGCCGGGCGATTGCAAATCGTAACCCACCCCGGAAGTATCCGCCGCGGATTCTCCGCATCGGAACCCCAGGCGTCTGCCTGCCTCCCCCAGCCCTGACTCCGACCCCAAAAGCAGGTCACCTCCCTGAGTTCCCAGCACTCGCCTACTTACCATGGCCCAGCTTCCTGCTGCCGGAAGTGAATCCCATCTTCCCCCGGAAACTCTAAGAGCGCATGCTCGGCCGTAGTAGGCCAGCTCTGGGGCGCGTTGCACTCTGGGATTTGTGGTCCGGCGAGACTAGCTGACGTTAGTCCCAGGCATTGTGGGAGCGGATTCTCCTCCTCCCGGCGTGCCCTGCGACACGGGGGCCGAACCCGGAAGTTCCGGGCCGAGTTCCCAGTGCCAACGAGTGAAGTCGTGTGTGAGGCAAAGTCTGGACATGGCGGCTCCTGGGCCAGCGCTCTGCCTCTTCGACGTGGACGGCACCCTGACGCCACCACGGCAGGTAGGCGGCGCCCGGCGGGCGGGCAGCAGCCAGTGCAGAGCCCCCTGCTGCTCCCATGCGGGGCGAACGGCCGCCCGGGGTGGGCGTCGAGGGGCGTCCAAGAACCGCCTCCCTGCTGTGGCGGGGCTAAACTCGCTTCTGGGTGCCCTGGAGGGATGCGACGGAACCCCAGCCAGCTCTTCAAGACCTCAGGCTGCTCGGAGAGATGGGACGGGGCCGAAAAACTCTTGAGAGCAAGAAGTTTGTATTGGGTTGGGAAACGCAATTCTGGACTCGCACCGCAAGCCCGGGTCGACTATGGGCTGTGCCTTGTAGCCTGATAGGAAAAGCATGTTTCTAAGTCAAACAGACCTAGTAGAGTCTCAGCTTTAGCTCTGGACAGCTGTGTGACCTTCAGCAAGTAGCTTAACCCCAGGGCCTCAGCATCCACAGCTTTAAATGGGGACATTACGTGTTACATATGGTGATTGTGAAGGTCGAATGAAGTCAAGTAAGTTCATGAAAGTATCTTGCATACGGTAGGCCGTGTTCGCTGATATCCAATAAATATTATCCGCCGCCACCACCCCCTCCTCCAGCCTCTGCAGTGGACTAGGGTTATGGAGGAGACCTAGATTGTTACAGGCTGCCTGCTGAGAGCCCCCTTGGACCCATGGAAACGTGCTTCCCACTTCCAGATTTTGCTGCTACCGGCACGGATAGGTTTGAGTTAAGATCAGCATTTGTGTTCAAGCTTGCTCTGGCCTCCCCGTTGCACAAATTGGTCACTGAACACCAGCCATTTGAACTTGAGAGTGGGCCCAAATGGCCTCACTATCTTCAAGTTCTGTCCCTGCCACCCTTAGTTTTGGCTAGGTGGTAGTAGTGGCATCCTCCAGAATTCCACGTCGACTGTGTGACCCTAACCATATCATTTTATCTTTGTGAGTCGCAGGTTTGATTTACCTAGTGATGATACTCAACTGCAAGTTCTCGAAAGGCCCTTTTTGACTCTTTTTTTTTTTTTTTGCCGACAAGGCTTTGTTTTTTCTTTTAGACATTCCGTCCCCAGTAGGTAGTTGTATGCCATAGTTGCACATCCTTATAGATAACTGCTAAGCCACGGGGCTGGCCTCTTTTTGACTCTTGAGATTCAGTGATCAAGAGACACTAGGGAGTTGTTAAAAGCCCATAGTGGTCTAGAGCAGAAGTCAGCAGTTCATGGTTTGTAAAGAGCCAGATGGCAAATACTTTTGTCTTTGCTGACCATATGGTCTGTCGTAACTAATGCGACTTTAATGCAAAAGTAGCCATAGACCATATGTAGACACAGCGTGGCTGTGTTCCAGTAGAAGTTTGTTTTATTTACTTATTACAAAAACAGCCAGCTGCTCAATTTGGCCTGTTGGCCATAATGGTCTACAGGGTACATTCCAAGCTTCTTTACATTATGTCATTGGACCCTCTCAACCTTTCTCCCTCCTTCATCCCGGGTAGAATAGTTGTTACTACGTTTTAAATGTAAGGAAACTGAGACCCTGTGAAACCATGACCTTCTCGATTTCACACAGCAGATCTGGTACAAGTCTCTGGGCCTCGGGGCATTGTTATTTGTTAAATTTGTCATTTTCTGCCACTGTTCTAAGGTGGAAGCTGTTCTGATTGCTGGGTATGTAATTTAGGAAATGCTTCTGATTCCCAGAAGGAATCAGGATATATAAGCATAAAGTATGAAATAGTAAAGAAACCAGGCAACCCATTGGACTCCGTTAAAACCCGTTATTCCCTTAAAGCATTTTTTTTTCTTTTTTAGTGAGGAAGATCAGCCCTGAGCTGTCATCCATGCTAATCCTCCTTCCCCCCACCCCCGCAAAGTCCCAGTAGATAGTTGTATGTCATAGTTGCACATCCTTCTAGTTGCTATATGTGGAATCCGGCCTCAGCATGGCTGGAGAAGCGGTGCGTCGGTGCGCGCCCGGGATCCGAACCCGGGCTGCCAGCAGCAGAGCACACACACTTAACCGCTAAGCCACGGGGCCGGCCCCACATTAAAACATTTTAAACATTATATTCTTTGCAGTGAACATAAATAATTTTTACACTCAAAAAAAAATTCTGTAGTTTAAGAGAGAATTGTTTCTGTGTGCTGTAGGTAAAAAATAAAAATTATTTTAGCAACAAATCTATTCATTATGCAACCTTTCTCTTTCTCAATACATGCATTCTCAAACATTGGTAAGCAGAATACAATCCAGAAGCAGAAGAATAGGTTATCTTTTCTTGCAGCTGCTGAAAGAGGATATGACCTAAACAGGTAAAATCTAATTAAAATCTTTGCACATTTCACTGTTTTAGTAGAATTTTGTTGTGCTGAGTACTTTCCTGAGAAATGCCATTCCATCTAAAAACAACCGAGACTCGGAACAAAAGCCTGCAAAAAGAAGAGGGGCATAAAGCTAGGTGAATTGTTTTCCAACTTTCCATCATGAAAAATTTCAAACATATAGAATCACTGAAAAAATAGTGCCCAGAACAGCCATATCCCTACCACTTAAATTCAACGATGGTTGATATTAACTTTATCTCTTTTTTTTTAATCTTTGCTGTACCACTTCCTAAGCTGCAGTCATCACAGTTCTTTACCCCTAAATGTTTGAGCCTGCATCTCTCAAGGACAACGTCTGTCGTAACCACAGTGTCATCATCACACCTAAGAAAACTATCGCCAGTTCTCTCGTGTTAATACCCCAGTCCAAGGGCCGGCAAACTCTTCTGTAAAAAGCCAGATAGTAAGTAGTTGAGGCTTCGCAGGCCGTGTGGTCTCTGTCACGACTGCTCAGCTCTGTTGTAGCCGCGGACACTGCATAAGTGAGTGGACGTGGCTGTGCTGCAGTCGTCCTTCACAGAGACAGGCAGGGGCCAGTTCTGGCCCACAGGCCTTATTTTGCTGACTCTTCCTCTACTCCAGTCAGGTTTCCTTAATTGTCCCAAAAAAGCCTTTTATAATTTTTTTTTCCACCTTAATTTCAAGCTTTTGGATCTTTGTGTTTTATTTTGTCTGGGTGACTTATAAAGAATTCCTTGTAATTATCAGCATAAGAGGTATTTGGGAACATCACGACAATTTTGCTATGTGGTTATTTTGCCCTAAAGATCTCTCCTGCAGTGGGATGTAGTTTAGATGCTCTGTTGTGGTCACAAGCAGCTGGGTCTCATTTCCTGTCCAGAAGTATGTGCTGCCACTTGGGTGCCTTCTACAACCCATTCACATGTGGAACAGGTCTGATGGCCGACCACAGTACCATCCAGCTCACTAGTGTGCATCAGGGTTGAGAGAGAATAAATGGTACGCTTAGGGTTCCGTTTGAAGATGGAGGTATTGCCTTTGTTGTTGTTATTGTTAGTACTGGACTTTTAATATTTTGCAATCAAAGGAGTCTTCCCCATTTCCTCTCCGTCTGATGTCAGGTCTGCGTAAACCACTTGGGCAACTCGGGGACCTGTTGTCACAGTCGTTGACTCATAGAGGCCCCTAGTGCAATTCCAGATTTTGTCTGCTAGGTCGAGATTCCACCGGAAGGTGTAGAAAAGATTGCATTCTCTTATAAGCCCTTGTGTACAATTTTATTTTATTAATCATATGTATGTATTACTGTAAAAAAATTTTTTTACAAAAAGAGAAGATTGAACTCTAGATGTTTATTTATTGAAGTTAAGTGGGGTTTTTGGTTTTGTTTTTCATTTCTGGTAACTTTATTTGTAAAGATATTCCGGGTAAGTGTTTAAGATTGCTAAAAGTAATGAAATAAGACTTTTAAAAATTCATTGTCATTTGTCTTAATACAGGGATGTCTTTTCATCTTAGTTTATAATTTCTTTTGGATTGGCACACAGTTTGGAATTTAATTAGCATAAAATTGTACCATTGAGACTGCTGTTTATAGATAGGAGCTTTTCTTTTAGGAGAGACTAAAAAATCTAATGATCTTACTCTTGTGTTTTGGGGGGGTGTATAATTATAATAAATCAATTCTGAACTTCCTCTTTAATCTCATTATGTTAAATCTGTAAAGGGAGTGCAGTGTAGCATTTGAAAGGAATGTGCTAGATCTGTGTGTATGGGCCTGGAAGGATCACCACAACTCAGTGCTGAAAAAGCAGGTGACTGCACAGGACATAGAATGAGTATGAACGCAAAGAAAAATACCTGGAACAGACACGACGGCTGTTAATCTATTACTAGCGTGTTTTAAACTAAGTAAAAATAAGTAAAATTTAGTAAGTTTTTTCTGGTAAACAGTGTCCCAAAATCACAACTAAAATATTTGGACTTATCTACAGACCTAGAATCTGAATTGGCACATGTGGAAGTAAGGGTTGTGTTACTCTTGCAAGTTTCTTTTCCCGGTTACTTTATGGCTCATGACTGTTCTATTTTCGTTTTTGACATGTAGAAAATTACCAAAGAAATGGATGACTTTGTACAGAAATTGAGGCAGAAGATCAAAATCGGAGTAGTAGGCGGGTCGGACTTTGAGAAAGTGCAGGAACAACTGGGAAATGATGGTAAACCATACATTGCTAATTACCTTTTGGTAAAAGATTAACTTTTCACGAGCACAGTGGGCCCTGTAGCCATTAAGTGGGGTAGACAGCCCGAGCCCTCATCTCCATGTGACGGGCTTCCTCCTTCCTTGTTTGGGGAAACAGTTTTCCTGCCTTTGTTTTTTCTCTGTTTTTAATCCTCTAAATAAATTTCTGGAGTTGCTGATGGAGCTCGAGGTGCTCAGATGCATTGGTAGATTCACCTAGAAGGGTGAGTGTCTGTGTCTTTCCCTGGAATACTTCTTCTTGTCCCCGTCCACTGCCCTTCTGGTCTCCGCTCAAGCCCCATCTCCTGACCGCCCTTCTCAGCCACGTGTTGAGGTGTCCTCTGGGTCTAGGTGCCTCCTCTCTGCCTAACACAGCATTTCCCAGAGTTCCCTGGTCATGACTCACCCAGGCTCCTCCCCGACCTACTGAGCCAGGATCTCCAGCACAGGAGATCCTGGAGATTCCTATTGGCCCCTTCATTGGAGATTCTGACTCCACAGGTCTATAGGGCCTGGGAATTGTATTTTAGCAACTACCCCCAAGAGGTTCTAAGGCACAACCCTGCTAGGGTGGCACCCTCTGGTTTTTGGAAACTGTCTGGTTATATGTTTGTCTTGAAGACTAAGACTGTGGATCTGGTAGCCCAGGACCTCCAGGGTGCCTGGCCTATAAGAAATAGTAGGTGGAGAAATGGATGAATCGATCATTCTTTTCAGCACTGTTGACATTTTGGGCCAGATAATTTTCTTTTGTGGGGGTTGTCCTGTGCACCGTAGGATGTTAACAGCATCCCTGGCCTCTACTCACTTGATGCCGGTAGCGCCCCCCTTCTAGTGTGACAACCAAAAACATCTCCTGACACTGCCACATATCCTCTAGGGGGGCAGAATCACTCTCAGTTGAGAACCACTGTTCAAGGTGTAATATCTCAGAGTCCAGACTGTGTAGGCTGTATCTATTGGATCAGTTACTGAAAGGGTAATCTGTGCAGTCCACTTAAAACCCTGTCTTCCGCTTACACTTAATTTTTCTGTAGGTGCTCTGCTTAGAAACGCTGTAAAGAACATAATGGGCACATGCAGCCCGGAAATCCTGTTACTTGGTCCTGGTTGCACTCTCTGCCTCTGGTCCTGCATTTAACCACAGGCTCAGAGAGGTTTTGTGTCAGGGTAGGACAGTGTCTGTACATTTCAGAGTGTGAGTCAAAACATTCACAGCTAGAAGAAAGTTGAAGAGCCACCTGTATCAGAATCACCTGGGGAGCGTGTTAAATACAGATATGCCCCCCCACCCGCCCCACCCAACACATGGTGCGTGGGAATCTGCATTTAACCAGTGCCTAGAGTTTGAGAATCCGTTAAGATTTATATAGGTGGTCTCCAAATCTGAATGAATATAAGAATCACCTAAAGAGCTTTTTTTAAAAAAATCTGATTTTTAGCCTGGCCCCTGCAGATTCTGTTTCAGGTAAGAGCAGAGCCTGGAAATCTGCACATTTTCACTGCTGCCCTGGCGATGCTGCCTCTAAGCGAGGTTTGGGAGCCATCAGTGGCTCCTGTTTTCTTTACAGATGGGCAGGCTGAAGGCAGAGACATGAAACGACCCATCACCAAGTCTCCCCTCTCCAACCCAGTCATTATCTTTTAAATTTGGAGTTAAGAGTCTTTAAAAAAAAATTTTTTTTTTTGTGAGGAAGATCAGCCCTGAGCTAACATCAGATGCCAATCCTCCTCTTTTTTTGCTGAGGAAGATTAGCCCTGGGCTAACATCCGTGCCCATCTTCCTCCACTTTACATGGGATGCCGCCACAGTGTGACTTGCCAAGCGGTGCGTCTGTGCGCGCCCGGGATCCGAACCGGCGAACCCCGGGCCACTGCAGCAGAGTGCGCACACTTAACCGCTTGCGCCACTGGGCTGGCCCCTAAAAAAATTTTTTAAGGAGTTTTTTTCCACTCTCCCAATATGTTAAGACGGGATAGGCTCTTGCAGCCCTTACTGGAATTTAGCAGTTTTATTGGTGATAAATGCTAATCAAGAAATAGAAACACAGGTTTCAATTCATTGCATTCTAAGTTTTCTTTTGTTTTGGTTGCAGTGGTTGAAAAATATGATTATGTGTTTCCAGAAAATGGCTTGGTAGCGTACAAAGACGGGAAACTCTTGTGTAAACAGGTAGGTTCTGGAGTATCCAAACTTATGTATGCTACTACTAAAATGTTTTCTAAAAAGGTATTTGACATTGAATGCCTCTGGGGAGGTATTTTAGGGAGTTGAGGAACAGGAGTGGGAATAAATCTTCACCCTGTATTCTTTTCCTTTTTTTTTTTTTTTTGTGAGGAAGATTGGCCCTGAGCTAACACCCGTGCCAATCCTCCTCTTTTTGCTGAGGAAGACCGGCCCTGGGCTAACATCCATGTGCGTCTTCTTCCACTTTATATGGGACGCCGCCACAGCATGGCCTGACAAGCAGTGCGTCGGTGCGCACCCAGGATCCGAACTGGCGAACCCTGGGCCGCCGCAGCGGAGCGCGTGCAATTAACCGCTTGTGCCACCAGCCCGGCCCCTCTTTTCCATTTTGAATGTTGAACTGTGTGACTATTACACATTCCAGATAGTTAACTCAATTTTTATAATTGTGTTTTAAGGACACTGATCTAATATTTCTGTTCTGATAGCAGAGAGCAGGGGAGGCTGCCTTGCCACAGCTTTTTGAAGAGATACCGTGTAGCTCTTCTTAATAGTGAGATCGTTCTGTTCAGGCATAAGAGAAAGCTGAACTGGAACAAACACATTTTCTGTCACTGTCTGTAGATATTTTAATTGAATAAAAGCAGCAGCGATGAACTCTTTGGGCCTCCCATGAAGCATTTGAAAGATAAGGAGTACAGAAATCTTGAGTAGTGAGGCAGAAAATGCTTTTGACTAAAGCCCTTTCTGGTTTGCCTGATGTTTCCAACCAGAGAAAAAAGGGAGAGAAAGAAAGGCAGTGGGGCGTGTCACCCTCACCGCTGCGTCAGCCTAGTGACCCTTGACTGACAGTGGCTGCAGCCCTGGGTTTGTTGTAAGGCTGTTTTGAAAATGCCTCCTGCTGAATCAAGTAACCCCAGTATTTTCTTTATCCAGAGTATTCAAAGTCACCTGGGTGAAGCCCTAATCCAAGATTTAATCAACTACTGTCTGAGCTACATTTCGAAAATTAAGCTCCCAAAGAAGAGGTAGGTTTGCTTCGCTGGAGTATGTAGCAATGTCTGGGGCATGTGTTTCCAAACTCCTCGGGGAACAACTACGGCTCTTGAGGAGCTGGTGATCATTTTCATAGCTCTTTATTAACTATAAAATTCTCTGCCTCACAGCAGCACTGTCCAACAGAAATATAATGTGAACCATGTATGCAATTTTAAGTTTTCTGTAGCCATGTTAAAAAAAAAAAGCAGAGAGGAACAGGTGAAATTAATTTTTTTTTTTTTAATTTTTAGCTTTTATTCATTTATGTATTTTTTGTGAAGAAGAGCAGCCCTGAGCTAACATCTGCCAATTCTCTTCTTGCTGAGGAAGACTGGCCCTGGACTAACAACCGTGCCCATCTTCCTCCACTTTATATGGGACACCACCGCAGCATGGCCTGACCAGCGGTGTGTCAGTGCGCGCCTAGGATCCAAACCTGCGAACTCTGGGCCACCGCAGCAGAGCGCGAGCACTTAACCGCTATGCAACCAGGCTGGCCCCTGAAATTAATTTTAATATATTTTATTTAACCCAATATATCCAAAATAGAATCATTTTAACATATAGTCAATATAAACATTATTAATGAGATTACATTCCTTTTTCATTCTAGTTCTTTGAAATCTAATCTCAGTTCGGGTTAGCCACATTTTGAGGCTCAATAGCCACGTGTGGCTCATGGCTACCATATGGCCCAGCTCAGCTCTGAGAAACGTTTATTACTGCACCCTCTGTATTTTACAATTGCTCAACTTTTTAGCTTGTTTACCCATCTATAATGTTGCCCAAATAAATAATGTATCTCTGGAACCTCTGTGCCCTTTTCCTCCCCAGGGGTACTTTCATTGAATTCCGAAACGGGATGTTAAATGTGTCCCCTATTGGGAGAAACTGCAGCCAAGAAGAACGCATTGAGTTCTATGAACTTGATAAAGTGAGTCTTTCTGAAATACCCTAGATTTATGAAGATAAGATGTGCAACTTTATGGCCAGTTGTTAACGTGTGCTTTCTAAACTGCAATACAGTGGACAACGGTATCTTTTTGTTTTTCTCAGAAAGAAAATATAAGACAGAAATTTGTAGCGGATCTGCAGAAAGAGTTTGCAGGAAAAGGCCTCACGTTTTCCATAGGTATTGTATATTCAAATGTGTCTCAAGCTTTGGTAATGATTTGCCAGGAGTTTGTTGGGGGCCAGTGAGCTCTTGGAATTGGACTGTGCCCAGTTTTCAGGTGGCCAAGAGGATTTAACAAGCAGCCAGTCTAGGGGAAAACCGCTCTCGTGCGTAATCAGCCACAGCAGAGACTTGCCCAGTGAGGAAATGACTTCTAGGCTACCGAGTTTGGTTCTAAATTCTGCCCCAGCAGGATTCTTCCTCCCTGCACTTCTGGTCAAAAGTAAGAGCATCTTGCTTAATGAAGAACTGACCCTCACATCTTTGGGCAGAAGACAAGCACATATGAACTCCATAGGAGGGAGATGGGATGGGAGCCCCTCAGATAAATGAGACTGAATGTGTTCTGGAATCATACAGTGTTTGAATGGCAAGGAACCTTAGAAGTCAGTTGGGTTGGTTTTACAAATCAAGAAACCGAGGCCCAGAAAGGAGAAGGGACTTGTCTAAGGTCACAAAGCTTTTATTTGCAATGGCAGACCGGCACGTGAACGTTCCTGGTGTCTGATGCAGAGCTTCCTGCAGCGCTGATGTCTCAGACTTATTTTTTGGTAGAATAGGCCTGTCAGATGCTTTGAGCAAACTGACTTCTCCTGTCAGTGCTGATGAGTGATTACTTAAAGCTGTCTCATTTTACAAGCTCTAATAAATGCTTGGGCTGCAGGGAAATTGGGATTGCAAAGGAATTATGTATAATAGATGAATGGGTGGATCTTTAAGTGTTCTTGAACTGCATGATGAACATCTTTCTGACAAAGCTTTGAAAGGGTCTTTGTCGCCCGTGAAAGCTGCCTGTAAATCACCTTCGGTATGATTTTCCCTTTGCCTGCGACATGAGCTGGATGCAGCCTGCTTCCAGACGTTTCCCACTGAGCTTGTGGTAAAGCCCCCAATGAGCACAGCTGACTGAGGCTGCTGTCAGATTTTCACCCGCATGCTTCATTGAAACTCGCTCGCTTGACAGAGCACTCACACACAAAAGCATTCTACATTCCCAGTTGGCACTCTAGGTCTTAGTTTTAGATTTTAAATTTTAGATTTTTGGTGAAATAATGTTGGAAAAAAACATAATGTGAAGTTAATTTCTAGAACCTCCCTAAAGTAATGTAGGGAGCAAATGAGGGCCTTAAGAACCAGTCGTGGCCCTTCAGCTGCTGACGGGTGAACTGCACCCCTTTTGCAGTGACATAGCAGCAGCCTCCTTTTCACCTTTGGCTTCTGTGTTTCCCGTCCCCGCCCGGCAGGAGGCCAGATCAGCCTCGATGTCTTTCCTGATGGATGGGACAAGAGGTATTGCCTGGGACATGTGGAGAAGGACGGCTATAAGACCATTTATTTCTTCGGAGACAAAACTATGCCAGTAAGTATAGAAGTGTTTTTGCAATTTCATTGTTCAATTTGGGCGTCAAGGGAGGAAATGGACAAATGGTTTTTTTTCCCCCTCACCCGCCCTTTACCCGTCGGCCCAGCTCAAACTGAGTGGTGGCTTCTGTCCCACATGAGAGTAAGATTAAGCCTCCCTCCTCTCTCTGGACACCTGATGCCTCAGCGGAGGCGAGAATCGAGCCTTTTCAGTTTGGCTTTTGAATTATATATTGCCCACCTCGAGTGCTTTCCAGAACACCAGTGCTGTTTAATCCTATTTGCATTTCAAAGCCCTTGCTCTTTTTATTTTATTATTCCGCTGTATTTTCTTTCCCAGGGGCATTCATTACAAGTTGGGCAGTAGGAGTCCTAAATGACAGGAGGACAGGGAATCTCATGGGTCTGAAATTCAGGAGAGGGCGCCTGGGACAGTTGGGGGATGCGGAGGAGTCAGTCCTGTGCGTCACACAGAGGGTATGGGGAGCTGTCCTGGGCAGCTGTCAGAAATCCCAAGGCCGGGACTGAATCTAAACTGGGAACTGAGAGCAGAGCCGGGGTTTAAGGCCAGCCTCAGCAAGAGGAATACGTAGTAGAAACACACGAGAGCCACCGTGGCAGCAGCACGAGGCTCTCCTTGGGACGGTGGATCCCCAAGGTGGTCGGGGATGTGTTGCCACCATTGAGGCCCCGAGAGGAGGCTCAGCCCTGGCTGCTTACCACCCAGCCTCAGGCTCCGCGTCTCCAGGCCGTCTCCCTTTAAATTCCTCCCACCCTCTGTGCCCCTCAGCCTCCTCCTCTCGTGCTGCCCAGCAGTGGTAGTTACCTTGTGACCAGGTGTCCCATTTCAGGCTTTGTGGCCATCCTGCACCCTGCTGCATCAGAAATGCTGCATATACAGAGTTTTGTATCCCTCTGATCCCTGGTCCACTCTGAAATACTTGCTATCCTGCTAAGGTCTATCCGGGATGGACCTGCCTTTCAGCAAAGTCTTCACATCATAGTCTTCCAGCATGCAAGGGACTTCTGGGTCCGGCCCAGTGGTGTAGTGGTTAAGTTCACGCATTGTGCTTCGGTGGCCCAGGGTTCGCCGGTTCAGATCCTGGGCATGGACCTACTCACCGTTCATCAAGCCATGCTGAGGTGGCGTCCCACATAGAGGAACTAGAAGGACCTACAACTAGGACATAAAACTATGTACTGGGGCTTTGGGGAGAAAAAAGAAAAAAAAAAGAAAGGGACTTCTGGATAGTGTAGTGTCATGTCCTCCTTTCAAAATGGTAAGACTGGGACTCAGAAAGGGTAAGTGACTTGCCCAGGGTCACACAGCTAATGACAGAGCTCGTGGCACCAGAACAAACTAGAGTGTGGAAAAGATTCTATTCTACTTCCCAAATGGATGTGGTGCTTTTAAGGAGGTATACCATTCAGCCTTGTTCTTAATAACAGAGAGAAATGGTTTCTAATCACATCCTTCTGGTGAAATGCTTTAGATGCAGAAATACTTTGAATGCAGGCTTTGAAAAAGTCACTATCTGACTTGATGTCTTTAGAAAAAGTAAGCTAATGAAATTACACCCAAGATCTAAGGAATGGCCAGAAGCTTCTTGAGTCCTTCCAACTTGGTGCCATTTCTTACACGCTGAAAAGAGAGCTATTCACAGGCTAAAACAGATTTTTCTGTAGTGATGACATTCTTGCTGTACATAAACAGCCATCTGAAGGCTTGGTTGGGACTTAGCAGAATGGAATGCAGTTCTTGAGTTAATCGGACAATGATTTCCTTTGGGAATTCTTCATTTAGGAATTGGAGAATTTTCTGTTCTGTTTAACCACTGCGTTATCACACATCAGCTCTGTTTTTTTACTCTTACCTACTTTTAAAAAATGGATACTATTTAATGGAGGTTCCCCCACCCCCTGATTCTTAATTAATATACATTCATTGTAGAAAGTTAGAGAAAGTAGGAAGTAGAAAGTATATATCACTTGTGATCACAGCCGCATCCCCCAGCCTTTGCTCTCTGTGTGTACGCAATCCCAGATGTGGAACCCCTACATGGTCATTGTTTTATTTTCTGCTTTTGTTCTCTTAACGTATTTTGTTTCCCCTACGTTAGTGACCATTCTTTGGAAGTAGGGTTCTGACGGCTGTATAACACTTCGTCATTTAGGCATCATTTACCTGCTCCCTGGTAGAGGCACTTTTGGGTTGTGGGTTTTTGCTCTTGTAACTAACACTGTGGTAAACATTCTTGCATCATTCTTTGCCCTCATTTCTGATCCTTTTTGTCAGTGGTTTCCTGGAAATGGGAGTTAACAGTCCAGCCATCTAAACCTTTTAACAACTTATCAGTTCTTGAAACTTTCAGGCATAGAGCAGTCCAAATACTGGCTTTAAACTTCTTTTCACATTCGGTGATAGACGTTTTGAAAGGTGTTTTCTTTCTTTGTATCAAGGCAAATGTTTTTGCTGGCTTCTGGGGACATGGCACCTGAGCTAAGAGCTGTCAGTAAGAAGCAATTCCCCGGCCAGGCACCGCAGGCCTAGAAGCCTGCCTGACGGCCTCCCCTTGCCCAGCAGCACAGCCTCCATCTGATGGGATCTGATGTAATAAAAGGGGCGTCCCCTGCTTTGAGCACCTCCAGGGAACAGAGTGAAGAAATAGGGCGTTGGCTCTTGCTTTCCTAAACCCTTGTTGGTCCTGGAAGCCCCTCATCCTTCCTGTCAGCCACAACAACCAGTGTCTATTAAAACCCAGCTCTGAGTTCAGCTTAGAGGCCCTGGGCCCAACCTGGGGGGCCTTGGTTTGCTACAGGGAAGGAGATGGCCAGGGCACGGACAGACACACACCCCAAACTGCTCTGCATGGCTCTCCAGGGGCTGCTCCCGCCGAATCACCCTCAGCCTGTCTGAATTCCCAGGCGAGAGAGCTGCTTGCTTAATGCTTTTTGTAGAAAACATCTTGGCTTTAAGGCAGTTGCAACACGACAACATCCTGATGCTTCATGAACATTAACCACTGATGGACACTGACTCAGCAGTTCCACTTTGGGCAGTTTAGCTCTCAGTTCGCTCCTCCCTATGTGGAAGGGCGCACACAGAGGGGCAGGATTAGAGACAGCCCTGCCCTTCCGCAGGAGGAGGCTGATTACGGAAGCAGTGGTCCAGCTGCACAGCCGAATGCCAGGTAGCTGAAACAGAGCTGAGGCAGGCCGAGCTCTGGGACGTTGTTAGGTGAGCGAAGCAAAGTGCAGAACAGTGCGAGTAACATGTTCTATTTTTGTCTAAAGAGGGAGAAATACTCTCTTCATATTTGCTTGTAAATGCATAAAGGGACTCTGAAAGGATACCCAAGAAAACAGATTAAAAGTTACTGTCCGGGTGAGGATGAGGACAGGAGAGACTGACCACTTCAACAGTATCCTGTTTTTAAATTTTGAACTAAGTGAATGTGCTAGCTATTGAAAAGTAAATTTTTTAAATATCAAATTGAGAAAAGGAAGGAAACGAAAATTTTCAGGCACTTCATAGTGTCAGACCGTGAGCTGGACACCGACATGTCATCCCCTGCCGTCCTTCCTGCAGCCTGGGCAGCCGGGTGGCATTGTCATCTGAGAAGATGGGGGCCTCACAGAGATTCAGCCACTGAGGGGGATCGGAAAGCCCCCCGTCCTGTTATTCTCCCACATCACTTCTAAAACGCTAAGGCCGCCCTCTCATTAAATCGTGCAACATCTTATTCTCTAATGTTAAAAAGGAAGCTCTTCCTTTAAAATAAGCTTTAAAGGGGCCGGCCCGGCGGCACAAGCAGTTAAGTGCGCGCGCGCTCCGCTGCGGCGGCCCAGGGTTCGCCGGTTTGGATCC